GCCACTCCCCCCGCCGAGGCCCTTACCACCGCCCGCCATAGTGTCGTGTAAGCAGAGGATGCAAGGACCAACAGTGAGGGAAAAAAGAGAGTAAAAATATCCGAAGGAGAAATAGAAAGAGAAGAAGAAGAAGAAGAAGAAGAAGAAGGAGAAATAGAAGGAGAAGAAGAAGCAGAAGAAGAAGAAGAAGACGAAGGGAAGAAAAAGAAGAAGAAGCTGCTGTCTGCCGGTACAATATGGGCAGGGAAAAAAAAGTGAACCGGAGATAGCGCCCAGTACGATATGGCGGGCAGTACAACATGACTGGCAGATATGCGAGATGGTGGGCGGTAAGATATGGAGGAGGACGAGGGTAGAAAAAGACGAGGAGGAGGAGGAGGAAGACGAAGAGGAGGGAAGGAGGAGGAGAGGAGACTTGAAAAACGAAACAGACGAAAGGAGGAGGAGGAGGAGGAGGGAAGAACAAGGAGGAAGAGGAGGAAGAGGAGGAGGAGGAGGAGGAAGAAGAAGAAGAAGGTAACAGGAGGGGGAGGAGGAAGAGGAGGTGACGAAGAAGAAGATAGGAGGGGGGGGAGAGGGGAGGAAGGAGGAGAGGAAGGAGGAGGAGGAAGATAGAGACTTGAAAAGCAAACAGACGAAAGGAGGAGAAGATGGAAGGAGGAGGAGGAGAGAAGAACAAGACAAAAGGAGGCGGCGGAGGAGGAGCAGGAGGTGGAGGAGGACCTACTGGTAGTGTATGTGGATGACAGAAAAAAAAAAGACAATGATGAAGGAGGTCGAGGAGGAGGAGGAGAGAAGGAGAAAAATAAGTAGGTGGAGGAGGAGGAGAAGGAAAGAAGAAGAAGACGAGAGGAGGAGGAGGGAGGGGGGGGGCGGGGAGAAGGACAAGACGAAAGGAGGACGAGGAGGAGAGAAGAAGAAGAAGACAGGAGTAGGAGCAGCAGGAGGAGGACGAGGACCTGCCGGTAGTCTATGTGCATGACGAAAAAAAAAAAAAACGACGATGAAGGAGGTCGAGGAGGAGGAGGAGGGGGAGAGGAGAAGAATAAGTAGGTGGATGAGGAGGAGGAGAGAAGAAGAAGAGAGGACGAGGAGGAGAGAAGGACAAGAAAGGAGGAGGAGGAGGAGGAAGAGGACCTGCCTGTTTTGTATGGCGATGACGGAAAAAAAAATAGACGACGAGGGAGGAGGAGGAGAGAGAGAGAGAGAGAGAGAGAGGAATCCTGCCCGTCAATAGGTTAACTAGCGGCGGGATTTCACCGCACTGATGTGGCCGCGCGGCACTTCGCCTAATGAACAGGTCCAATGAAATCGGGACGAGGAGGAGGAGGAGAAGGAGAAAGGAGGAGGAGGAGGAGGAGGAGGAAGAGGAGAGAAGAAGAGAGGAGGAGGAGACAGGAGGATGAGGAGGAGGAGTAGAAAGGAGTAGGAGGAAGAGGACAGAAGAAGAAAAGGAGAAATGAAGGAGGAGGAGGAGAGGAAGAAGAAGAAGAGGAAGGAAAGAGGTGGAGGAGGGTTCACTACGATGGCAAAAGCAGCTTCACGGGCAGTGACGGCGGGGAGGGCTTCTCGACGGGGCAGCTGGACAGAGACAACGATGGGCGCAGCTTCACGGGCAGTGACGGCGGGGAGGGCTTCTCGACGGGGCAGCTGGACGGAGACAATGATGGGCAGCTCGACGAGGAGCAGCAGCTACCACGGGCGGGCTTCGTGACGGCAGCGACGACAGGCGGCTTCGCGACAGCAGTGACGACGGGCTTCGCAACAGGGAATACCGCATTCGAATTCGAACACGACGTCGTAGCCCGCCAGAGGGGGAATCAATTTCTTGGCCGCTGATGTCATTGACTGATCTTTGAAGACCTTTTCCCCCCCCTTCAAAGTACTCGCAGATTCAAAAAAAACACTCCGCCTTGGGAGGCGACCAGTAGCCGAAAAAGGCCTCCCCCCCCAACCCGTGTGAAAAAAGGCCTCCCCCCCCAACCCGTGCGAAATTGCGCTGGGCTCGCCCGGCCCCAAACCGGGGGACCCAACCGGCCGGGCCGCCCGGGACCCCTGCCAGACGAAGGCCAGGCCACCGGACGGTCCAGAGTTTAACACAGATATTATCTCTATTTCTTATCAAGTGGATGGCCGCCGCGGCTAGGCCCGCGGCAGACACGTGTGCCTAAGCTCTTTAACCCTATTCCCGTGCGACCTCCTTTTCTTAGTTCTTCCCGTTGTTCGCCACCCCCTCTCCATCCTGTTCCCCCATACCCCACTTCTTGGTCACTTCACCAACCGCTGGTGCTTTCTCTTCCTGCCCCGTCCTCTCCCGTGATGTCTTTCTCCAGGCCCCCACACCGTTCTCCTCCCATGCCTGTCCTTTTGTGTCATCTTTGCAGGACACAAAACAGCACACTTTGGGACGCACTCCACTACTCAGCACACACAAAGAAGACAAAAAATGGTGGGGAGAGAGACTTTGCTGTTCTCTTCGGCTTGTCACTGCCCCTTGTAACAGCGCAAGCAGACGGGCATCATGGCATCAACACAGCGAAGCGCAATGCGACACTGCCAAATGGCCAGACCTCACGGCACACGATCAAAGCTCACGGAGATGGGAAGCAAGGCAATAGCATAGCAAAGCACCAGGCAACACCAACAAAGCAGCCAATTATAAGGCAGCACACCAGCTGCAAAGAACGAAATGGGGAGCATGCGGGGTGGGCAGCAGGGCAGCTGCAAAGATTAACATGGGGAGCAAGCGGGATAGGTAGCATGGAAGCAGCTGCGGAGCATAGAGACAGCAGTCCACAAAGCAGTGCATCACCTACTCACACCACAAGTAAACCCAACAGACTGTTGTTGGTTCACACCAACTGCTGAGTGGGGGAGTCACTCCGATGAACATTTGCCACCACCCATGGGAATGACATCCCAAACCGTGCAGCCCGCCTAATCTTGCTCCAGGCACTCCAAACGACGAGGAATGACAGACTATTTGGTACTGCTTTGAAAAAAAACGATAAAAGAGGACATAAGAAAACCAAGCAAAAAAATATTTAACCATACATATATAAAAGAAAAGATTGTGTCAATTTGTGTGCGTGTCTCTGCATGTGCAATGTGCATGTATAAAAATGATTGTGTGTGTGTGTGTGTGTGTGTGTGTGTGTGTGTGTGTGTGTGTGTGTGTGTGTTTTAATTTGCTCATCCTGCATTTTTTTCAGGTTTTCCTCCAAAGAGTGGTGTGAGCAGAGTGAGCCTAAGTAGATTTGAACTAATGACTTCTCAGTGCAATATATATAGACTGCTTTGGAATGGGAACAATGTTACAGGTCTCACTTATGATCAGGTTAATCCTTTGTCAGGAAAGGTCATATACGTATTACCTATGTATTCTGTAATCTGGCGAAATAATTATAACGATACAATAAATTGTTTGAATGCGTGATCCTAGTATCATCCCAGTATGACACTTCTTGCCACCCCAACAGCTTGCTTTTTCCTTCCGCCGCAGTAAATGAGATGCGACTTGAAATGACAGTTGTGCCCCATTTGCATCTTGTTATACGTGACTTTGAACAGATCTGGTATGGAGCGGGTATGCGACCGAAGGATGCAAACAGGTTGCCAGCTCTTGTTGCTGCAGGTCAAGCACAGCGTGTTGTTCTTTCGTCACCAATCCCCATCTCTGGGAAGGTAGGGTTTATGTGAGGTGTATATGCAGTCCATGCGATGAGCGAGGATCTGACATCCATCGACATTGCATTGGCGCGGGAGTCTCAAGGTTTTCGGGCTGATGGGCTGAATTTGCTGCCAGGTTCAGCGAACAGCTGTAGTTAGTTAGGACTCAGGAGGATCATTACCCACAACCACCTTTTTCGATCAATACACACGTGCACAGGAGAAGGGGAGAGAGAGAGAGAGAGAGAGAGAGAGAGAGAGAGAGAGAGAGAGTCACCCTTCGCACCATGGTTGAGTTCCTGATTCTTGTGGTGCTGGAGAGCTCTCGTAGAGAAAGGGTTTTTTGCAGAGGCTTTTGTATCACTTCTGTCTAAGAAAAATAAGATTTGGTTTGAGGATGAGCCTTGATGGACGTAGCCGCGGCTCATTGGGCCCCTCGTTCAGCATCATGTGAGATGGGAGCTGCAGTCGAAGTGTGGAGCGAGTTCGCCTCTCTGTCTATAGAAAGCAATGCGTGTGTGTACGTGTTTAAGGCCCCAACCACAGAGCCTCAGAGCATACTCGCTCTAGGACTAACGTATCTGACCGGTACTTGGGACCGATCTGGACGTATCTGACTGCCATTACGTCAAGTTCTACTGTGGATGTGTTCTCTGAAGTGGCCATAACAGCAGGTGGAGGTGATGGAAAAGACCAATTTGCTCAGAATACCCCCTCTGCCTGTCACATGTCAAGTATTCTTTCCCTGTAGGTTTGATTTGAATTTTGAACGGAAATAATGAGTAAAGAATGTCCTGTGTGTTACACATACACCTGAGATGATTTGATCAGAAAACGACGAGTAAGAATGTCCTGCCTGTGTCCCGTGTGTCACCTATACACCTGCGATTAGATATGTGTGATCCGATGATGTGGCCGTAAAGAAGGAATTTCTGACTTCAAGTTTCCTGCCTTTTTTTTCAGGGTAGTTTCGGCGTAGGATTATCAAGTTGATATGTAGAAAAGAAAGCAACACAAAAGAGTCACTGGCTGTGTGTGTGTGTGTGTGTGTGTAGAGAGAGAGAGAGAGAGAGAGAGAGAGAGAGCGGTCTCTTATACACATCTAGATGTGTATAAGAGACAGGTGTGTGTGTGTGTGTGTGTGTGTGTGTGTGTGTGTGTCTGTGTGTGTGTGTTTCTGTCCGTCCGTTTGTCAGTCTGTCTGTCTGTCAGTGTGTGTGTGTGTGTGTGTGTGTGTGTGTTTCTGTCTGTCTTCTCCGCCCCCCCCTTCTCTCTCTCTCTCCCTCTCTGTCTATTTTTTCTTGGTCTTGTGTTGTTGTCCTCTCGTGCAGGGAAATCTTGATGGAGATGCACCCAGCCCTGGTTATGTCATGCTTATGTTTTACATGTTGTATGATGGAAGGGTAAGCAAGGATTGGGCTTTGTTTGGTCTATTGTAGCATGAACCTGACCAGTGTTAAGGCCAGATTCGTTTGCTTGTCTGGGTTTGAGAATTAAATCCAACAGAGTCGTTTGTGTGTTTCCATTTGCATACTAAACCCAGATTCGCTTGTCGGTTCGGATTTGCAAGTTAAATCCAACATACTCGCCTGTGATTTCGTAGTAGTAAATTCAAATACAATCAATTACTACATGTGGTAACCAACAGGCCTAGCTCAGTTTGTACACCCTTGGAAGTGTTGAAATGCGGACCTGAGTTGGAATTCAAATAGAACTAGATGAATGAGCAAAATGTTTCGGATTACTTGGGGCTGGTCAGTTCGATACTCGTATCTTCAAGGTCATTGCCCTTAAACCACCAGTACCTCTCCCAGGCAAACTTGGAAAATAATAAATGAAAAAAAATGTATGCGCGAGAAATGCCTCAGTTGGGACTGGTTTTGTTCGGTAGGCGCGAATCGGTTATTAGACCTTCCCATATGAAAGTCGTGAAATGCGATTCGGATTCCCCCCAAAAAAAGTTAAGGGCATGTTAGGAATGGTCAGACGCATCTGTTGGCAATTGCCGCCACATTCAGTAAGGAATGTAGTGCGAGTACAGCAGCCAGACTCTTGTTCATGCCAGCGCGTGTCGTTCTAGGGATATCAGGATTTTCATGAACACGAAGTGTGATTGTGATTCGCGGGAAAGGAAGTTGAAACAAAGAAATGTCTTCTGAAGTAAACCATCCCTAAGGGCATACTCATGTTAGCACAGGATCAGGTAGGTATCTGAAGGCTATTGCAGCCGCATTTGGTCAAGATTGCCCTCATGTGTGTATGATGTAATTTATTTTTCCACCAGTGCTTTGTCCTTCCAGACTTTGGAAGTTTGGATCTGCAATCCTCTCTGTGAGTCTGTGCTCCATTCTTTCAGCAAGATATGCAAAGAAGTGGATGTCTGGTTTCAAGGGGAGTACAAATCTATCAACGCAGCAACCCTACTGTCTTCACCTGGATAGAACGCCCGGTCATTATCGCTGCATCTTGACCGTAAGTTGTGCCAAATACAGCTATAATGACCGGGCGTTCTATTCGGGCGAAGACAGTAGTATTGCCAAAACGTGAGCATGGGAAATCATTTTTGGTTGAACCGAGGAATTGACGGGCTCCGGCTGGTCATGGGATTTGTGCGCAGCTCAGATCAAGACCGTATGTAAAGCTTTGGTTACCTTGTCGGGACAGGAGAGGTGACGATCTTGTGGAGTGCCTTTTTATGTTATGAATTAATCAATTAGCTAATTTTCAATCCATTTGTGGAAACATAGCATGTGTTTGGAATAATGACACCAAGGTTGCAGCGCATTGTTACTTTGAAAAAGTGATCGCTTGTGAGCGCCTGCAAAGCACCGAAAGCACCGAAGATTTGACGCGTAGTGTTGATAGATTTGTTATGTTTCCAGAAAAAAAAAGATTCTGTTTTTCGAATCCAGGAGTTGGAAGATGATCGTCAGCTGATCGCTTGTGAGCGCCTGCAAAGCACCGAAGATTTGACGCGTAGTGTTGATAGATCTGTTATGTTTCCAGAAAAAAAAGATTCTGTTTTTCGAATCCAGGAGTTGGAAGATGATCGTCAGCTTCAGTTTTCAAATCATCTACCCGTGCCTGTGGATCGAATATTGACAACATAGGAACTCACCTGTTTTGCGGACCTGGTTTACTCCTTGTTATTTGCGTGTGTGTGCAGGATCGCGCTGATTTCGAACAAGACCTTCTCAAACGGTTTGATTGCCTTGTCAAGATGCCAGTACTGAAGCAAGACCGGTATGTGTGTCCTGGCAATGGTGGCACCATCTGTTTTTTTTGTGTTTTCAGAAAAAGTTCGTGTCTCTTTCACAATGATGGGGTCATCTGTTTTCTGTTTTCAGAAAAGCTTTCTGATGCGTGCTGATCCTTGTTGTTTTCTTGTTCTGTCCATCTGATTGCATCTGGATTCGAACTTGGAACCGTGTTTCAACGGTTCATGGGTGTAAGTACTGAGCTAGGGCCGCTGGATCAATGGTGATCGTAGGCGCCAGTCGTTCTGTTGTTATGATTTTGGTTGTCCGTCGAATTCAATCAAAACTCGCACTCCGACAATCTCACACATGCCCATACACGCATAAGGAGGAGGGGAGAGGAGACAGAGTACACACTGCACACGGACAGAGTAGACAGTGGAAAAATCATGCACAGTTGTGGAGACAACACAAAGTGTTTCTCACTCTTCGACAATACGCCCAACAACCAATTACAGAAAGACACTGGCGAGGATAACAAAAGAACGTAACCAAGTTTGAGCCAATCTGAAGCCATAATCGTCCCATAGTTTGTCCCAGTATTTCGCCACCGCTGAACTCCACACTCCCCTCTCACACTCACACCCAGTTAGTTTCGCTACCCTAGATGCACCTCCCTGGGGCCAGCGCCAACCACCAAGATGAAGAACAAGACCAGTTGAAGTCCTCCGTGCCGATGTAGGAACTCTGACGATGAAAGCTGCAGCTATGGCTGCAGCGCCACTGTCTCTGCCATGCAGGTAAGCCTGCCGAAGTAGCAGCAGCAGTAGTCCATCCGAAAACCTCTATGTGGAGCCTCCTGATAGCCCAGACAATCGCAGTCACCCTCCCTGGTGAGTGCTCAGAGAATGCCCCAGCTATGGCGAGCTCGCGCTGTCTGGCTATGGCTGTCGTCACTGACGAGGGACTTAGGATGCTGTGCCTGAAGTCAATCGTCACCTTCCTTACTTGGCTCAACTCCGTAGTACCGACGAAGAAATGAATTGCCAAAAGTCCTAACACTAGAACCTAGTTCTATTAATAGACTAAGCCTAGACGTAGACACGGACTGGACCGACCGGTACCGTTTCAGTTTGGGCCTCTAGGGCCTCTACCTACCTGGCTATAGGCTCTCGTGCTACGGGCCTAGGCCTTAGGGCCTCCCGTCCTAGTGATAGCCTGGGCCTGCTGTTCGCAGTGCGGTCCAAGGGAACTGCGGGTTGGTAATTTTTCAGAAATTACAGATTGTCCCTCACGAATTTGCCTCAGCACTGAACTCTCGGTTAGTCCATGACACAAACAAAATTACGAATCTAACCCTACAGCTGTTACTGTACAGCCTCACAGTCAGATCTCGGAAGGCAAAATCAGCAAGTCATTGCACTATTCTATTTCAACGGTTCATGGGTGTAAGTATTGAGCTAGGGCCACTGGCCGTTGATCCATTCTTTTCTGAGGGTAAGTCCCGCGATCTCCTTTTTTTGATGAAAGTACTGATATGGTCGTCATCTGAACGAGCTCATCGTGCATCCTCTCTGCATGATGAAACAAGTCCTGTCTATCTCGTTCTCATTGCAAACACCTGCAACGTCCAGTGCCATCGTCAACTGGACCCGGCCAAAGTGGGCAATTCGCTTGGTGACTTCAATAGTTGCCCTTAGCAAGATAAAAAATAGGGAGAAAAAAAGAGGGGATCTGGACTACGATTCAGGTAGAGTCTGAATGACATCGGGGGAAAAAAAAAGGAGTCTGACTGAGATTGGATTGAATCAAGCTTAAAAAAAAGAAAAAAGATTGAAGCAGAGCTTTCTATGGGGTTGCTCACAATGGGTGTTTTTTTTTTTTTTTTTTTATGTTTCTTATAAATTTGGACCATTTCTCGATTTATGCGTGTCATCCTTGCGCAGGGGCCATGCTTATCTTCTCTGTATCATTCCAATTTTAATGGATATCCCTAACGACTGCTCTGTTGCTGTTTTATTTATTTTGACGACAAGATCTCTCATGCGAATAACCTCTCAATGATCCTATATGTACAGTACTACATAAAACGCCGATCATAACATCAGAAAATGCCGATCATAATGAACCTGCCCCTTATTCTGGGCGAATTCAGTAGGCAAATGAATATTGGGTGCTAACGTTGACCTCAACTGACTACTCCTCTCTCATGCGAATAACCTCTCAATGATCCTATATGTTCAGTACTACATAAAACGCCGATCATAACATCAGAAAATGCCGATCATAATGAACCTGCCCCTTATTCTGGGCGAATTCAGTAGGCAAATGAATATTGGGTGCTAACGTTGACCTCAACTGACTACTCCTCAGCAGGATGCTGCATCACAGACAATTCGGCTCTCTACATTAAAAAATGCCGATCACAATGGACCTACCCTTCATTCACTCTGGGTGCATTCAGTAGGCAACTGAATATTGGATGTTGGCCTCGACCGCAACTCCTCAAGCAGGATGCTGCATCACAGACAAGTCTCCGGACTGTTATCAAGAGGTAAGCTTTTCCCTGGATGCCAATCAATGTTGTGGTGTTTTTCCCTTTACAAGGGACATCTTACTTACATGAATGCTCGTGCATCATTTTGTCGCTCTGCGGGTTTGTTGACTTGTCCTTTCAGGAAGCCCATGCCTGAGACGATCACGAAGACATTTGATGACGGCCTGGTGCTCTATGGACGCCATACCACAAAACATGGACGGTAAGGGCTCAAGGTTCCTCACACCCTCCTTGCATCTCTGCTATCTGAATACATCAGGGGGATTTGAAGTTGCAGTGTTTATTGACAGGTTCATGCGTGTGCCGCTCAGCTTCCACGTTCGTATGTCACAAAATGTGGCCAAACTGTATTTTACCATCAGGAGGATCAGCAATCTGATAGGAATCTGCAAAACTTAAGCACCACCATTGATTTTTTGCTGCCGGACCCCGATCCTGCGCCGGCTTCTCAACCAATATCTTCCCGGGGAATTGTTTTCAATTTGCACACCAGTGGAGTGCCTCAGGTCTGTTTTCTGAGCCTGGTTCGGCCCTACCTGTTGCCTGGGGGCCTGGTTGCGGCCTACCGTTGCCAACTGAGAATTTTCTTGGGTTTGGCAGCAAGGGTGGTGCCTTAAATCAATTTCAGCAATCACACCGTGTGCATTCAAGTGGAAACACGTTTTGCTTGATTGGAAACTTCTCTAAACTTGATTGGAAACTTCTCTAAACGTGACCGGGAACTTCTCTCACTTGATTGGAAACTTCTACTTCACGTTCGAAACTCCGCGCACTTGATTGGAAATGTCAATGTCACATTGGAAACTTCTCCCACCGGAATGAAACTTCGCAGCAAACTGAAATTCAATTATATGCGACCAGAATACTTTACAAAGCTCACAAGTGTGTATCATACTTGCGGTGCATGTGTACAGTGCGCGGATCTGTGATGCTTGCGGCGCACTTGTACGGTGGGCGGATCTGTGATGTTCACAAACCTTGTGCACGCAGTGCACAGGGCAGATGAAGTGCCGTGGATCTAGCAATGTGTGCACATGTGCAGTCAGGGCCTCACTCCATTACATCGACACTGTAGAGGACGCTTTGTGGATCCAGACATGCAGGCAGCGCCTCACTCCATTACATCAACACTGTAGGATGCAGTCAGGGCCTCACTCCATTACATCAACACTGCAGGCAGCGCTTTGTGAGACTCATCCGAATGCACCTGGTCGAGGGTGTCCAAATGTGTGTAAGAGTGCTGTGTAGTGGAGCAAGGCCCACAGTCTTTGATTCTGCAACGTCCATTTGGCCGGTCCGTTGCTTGATATCCCCAGTACCCGGGTGGGACCCCAATAGCATTTTGACTGTGGATTTGCTCCATCACTTGCCTGTATTCGGATCCATTCTTGATGGGAACCACTGAACCAGTCTATTTTAATTGGGAACAGGGCTATTTGAACGTTTACAGTCTGGTTCACAAATCCAATTTTCGGCTTATGCGTCTGCACGCATGTCAGTGCACTGAGTGCAGTGGCCTCCACACCTGTCGATGTGGTGCTGGTTCAGCGGCTATTCTGCTTGCCTGATTCTTTTCTACAAGTGAGCCCAATGCTGAACGGAAGACTATCATTTTTTTTTTTTTTTTTTTTTTTTTTGTAATAGGAGGCTGTCTCAGCCGTCGACCAGAAGCTTCACCACCCGCAACACGATGATAACATCTCGATGATGATGATGATGATGATGATGATGATGATGATGATGACACTGACAAACGATAAAGATGATGATGATGATAATGATGATGTTGGGGTGATGATGACAATGATAAACAATGATGATGATGATGATGAGCATGATGATGATGATGAGCATGAGCATGAGCATGAGCATGATTATCATGAAGGTGACGGTGAGAACAGTAGCTCTGATGGCAGTTGGGCGTGATGTGCAAAAATGCATTTTGTTGTGCGAAATATGGGTGTGTGTGTGCCAGGTATGTGGAAGCTTTGGGTGGAAGCTTGAAAGATGAATGGATTGCGTGGGAGGCGAGGTTGAAGGCCGTGCTAAAGGAGCATGAGGAGTATATTATCTCCATCCAGGTACTTTGTTCTTGCAGCTCTTCGTTGTTGCTTGCAGGCACATCTCTTTGCAATTGCCTCAAAATCCATCTGCTGTGTCAGAGGCAGGACCCTCTCATGCCTGTTATCCCAGGGAAGCAGGAACCCAGCTTACCTTATGGCCAGGTTCATTCTCGCTAGCACGAAAATTGCGCCAGTGGGGCCTGCCCCTTACAATACTGGCATGAGGACTTTACCATGTGAAGCACGTTCGGCTAGGCTGGTCTAGCAATGCCTAGGACGAAGCACGGGCAAAAATAAATGAAGGTCCGAATTTCAAACAGTACCAACAGGCCTAGCTCGGTCGGTACACCCATGAACTGTTGAAAATATACAATACAGTGAATACACGCTCTGACTTTTTATGTTTTATAACCTGAAACCAAGATGGATTAACTGTCATCTCTCAAGCAGCTGCAGACCTTTGGACAAAGTACGTTTTCTTCAAGTACTGTAAACTATTAGGCAATTGTCGGATGCCAAGAAAGTGCGCCTCCTATGGCTCACAATGCACTTGGCCATGCCAACAGCTGAATGGCTTATGAGTAAGAGTCAGTTCACTAATCCTTGTTGTGTGGTCTGCAGCTTAGGACCAGAAGATTTGCTGCACCTTTGGGTTACTTGCCCATTGCAGCAAAGCTTTTGGTGTCTTGGGCTGGAGCTTTGTCAGGGGCTTTCCCCTCTTATGCCCTCTGATGACCTGGCGACTAATGCTTGTGTTCGACAAGTCAAGACATCCTCCTTACTTCACCTCGTACATGCAAGCGGACACTGTGCGGAAAATTCCTCACGTTTGGCGCATGAGCGGACCCGCATGGTGCGGTGCACAGGGGAAATATTCACACGAAAAAAGAAGGGGGTCGCATGGCTGGATTAATGGCACCTGTGGCCCCTTCAAAGATTTGTTGTGGGATGGGGAAAAAGAACAAACTAGTGGGAAGGTAATGCCTTTACCTAAAGGTCAAGACTGATGTCCCAGACACCTTCTTGAGGCTATTTCTCATGCCCAATTGGACGGAAAGAAAAATCTGTATAACTGTACTCGAAAAAGATCAGTTCCATACTTGCGGCGCACCGGCACTGTGCGCTGCGCAGTGCGCTGTGCGCGGACCCAGGGTGGGCGCGCACCGGCGCGCGCCGCGCATCTGGGTGCGCAGTGCGCGCTGCGCGGTGTGCTGTATGTGCTGCGCGCTGGTGTGCAATGTATATTTCCATGTTCTAGCGGTAGATTCATTTGATTTTGTTCTCTCTCTCTCTCTCTGTCTCTCTCTCTCTCTCTCTCTCTCTCTCTCTCTCTCT